GAGAAAGAAAACAACGTGAAAAGTTCCAAGCCGTTATTCATGACATTCTGGAGGATATGACGATGGCTACCTTGTGGATGGACTGTAAACCATGTGAATTTTTAATGAAGTGCGGTGCTAGCTCGTTTAAAATAATTCAAACAAGTAAAGGAAGGAGGAAACTTGTGGCCTATTTCGAGAATTGTGAGACCACACTAAGAGCCTTAGATACGCCACAGTTTTTCGTACCTGATGGTAAGGAGTTGAAATAGTGTCGACACTCCATTCCTACCTTGAAGAAAGCACAAAATAAACCAAAGGCTAAAAATACACCGAATACGAAAAAGTCAGGTAAGTCTGACAAGAATTTGGACAGTAATCAGCCTAAGAAGAAAGACAAACCTACATCCTTGAAAAAAGTCTCCAAAAATAATAACCAGGAGGAGAAACACCTGAATACTCAGAAGAAGGCAAAGAATTTCTCAAAGAAAAAGGGTGGTAATAAAGATAACAAGGCGGTTTTAGCAGAAATTTTGACTTTATTACAGAAACTAGTTTAGCCTACGCTGTAATTAGCGGTTTTACAAATTTCAGAATTGTATTATTTTTAGGATAGAATATGTTTATGTTTAGTGCCACAATTTCTTGAAAAGGGGACTTGTCCTCTCCACTTTTTTTTTTCAATTTTTCCCAGTGTGTTTGCCTGGACCTTTATTGGACGTGGTAGTGGTTCAGGTTTTTTCTTTTTAAGAAGTTAGGGTCGGGTGCCAGCTCCTCTGGTCTTCGATGGTGGGACTTGTTTGGGTTGTATTACTACAGAATCATGCCCTTTTTTTGTAGCCCCTGCCTGCTTTACATAAAATAAAATAAAATAAAATCGCACTTCCATGTGAAGAATGGATCCGTCTTCAATTTTGGCTAACCAATCCAACTACAGCAGCGGCAATACATATACTGGCCGATTTAATATTAAATATCAAGAATATCAAGTCCAAGCTAGACAATTACGCAAAGATCATCCAGATGCACATTATTGTGCTTGTTTATTTTGGTATCTACATGAATTTGCTATTCTTTATCGCAGTCATGTTTGTTTCATTGCTGCAGATGATAAGCATAAAATACCAATCAGAGAAGGTGTACCACATACGTAATAAGAAAAATATAGTTAGTACAAATACAGTTCTTGTAGCAAGTGATCATGATTTTACCAAACTATCTCTTACCCCTTCTGTAACTTTTTTTATTGATATTCCTGAATCAATTGAACATTCCTTTTATAATGGTAAAGTATTTGTTTCATATAAGGATACACTTTTTCAACCTAGTACCACTATTAGACATTCAACCGAATTTTACAGGACCAAACATACCTCCCATTCTTTGTCTTTACACAGATGGTGGTCCAGACCATCAAATAACTTTTGGTTCAGTACAAATATCCCTTCTTTGTCTATTCCTTCGTGGTAACTTTGATATTCTTATTGCATTGCGAACTGCACCTTACCACAGTTGGGCAAATCCAGCTGAACGAATTATGTCAATAATTAATTTGGGTCTTCAGGGTGTTGCAATTATGCGAGATGAGATGAGTTCACATTTAGAGGAAATTTTTGAAAAGGCTGATACATTAGAACAAATTCGAGAGGCCGCAAAAAAAAACCAAAATTATTATGTGCACGAACTGAACAACTGGTTTTGCATAATATACCTTTTGAAACAAAAATCCCGCTGATAAAAAAACTATCAAAGAATTATTTGAGGTAAATTTGTATGTTAATAAAATAAATAATGGTGTAGTTAGCCAAAAAATTCAGCCGAAGGCGCAGTAAATTTTCGGCTAACAACATCCAGCCAAAAAAAATTCATGTTGATCTAGAATATTTTATTGAATATTTTATTGGTTCAACATCTACTATTTTCGGCTGAATATTTTCGTCTAACTACACTTTTTTTAAATAATAGTGTAGTTAGCCGAAATATCAGAAGCGCAAGAAACACCAATATAT